ACGATTCCAAATTCAATCAGAATTATTAGCCTGAAATTAGCCCGAAATTTATCAGAATTATCAGCCCAAAATTAACCCAAATTAGTTAGTCCGAAGTCAACCCAAAGCTGTTATTTTCTGGAACATTTTATGACCACAGTGGTAGAAAAAAAAGTTGCTTATAAAACGGTTGCAGAACCTCTCTTGCCCTTTACCTGGTGAAAAAGGTTGATATTCCTGTTTGTGATTGTAAAAAAAAAAAAAAAAAAACCCCTTTTATTATTGTTCATATCCGAAATCTTGCTTTAATTGTTGAAATTTTTTCAATCCCTGCCTTAATGATGTTAGGTGGCATAACTCATGAATAGTCCAAGTTTGAATGTGGGATGGTGTTTCTATGAAACTAACTCTGGCTCTGTCCAAACCAATTGATAACTTCATTTTTTTTTTTTATCTCTGCAATAGAGTATCCAGGCTTTCGATCGATTATGTTTGTTGTCTGAGGGAGAACTTTCACGCAATCTTTGTGAGCGATAATCCCACTCACTTACCGCATAATTTAACAAATTAATTTTGGCTGGCGGGGCCGATTTGAATTTGTGGGACCCACAAACTGTGACTGTTGTGGACATAAAAACTAAAAAGGAAAAAGAATCTGGATGGCAAAAAGTGGAAGGGTGGGGTGGCTGTTGCCAAACACAAATGGATTCAAATGACATGATTATTAGGAAGAGATTAAGTTGGTACAAACACACAGCAACACTAAACCATCATATCATCTCGACATAAGACTTATATCTATCCCACACATGAAAAAAGTTGCTTGTAGGCCCTCCAACAGTGTGCCTACTAAATGGCAACTCTTATTAAAGATAGAGTATTCACATGACGCTAGGTTACCTATCATTCTTTAATTCTCCAGGCTTTTGCTCTCATGGGACAGTGTATCCTGCAATGGTATGGAAATAATTATTCAAGAATAAAAAATTAATATGGTTAAGGTCATTGACTATTACTTTAGTGATTGTAATTAACTCGGGATAAAGTTGGGATTTATTTATTTATTTTTTGACGGGGTCAAATTGTGGTGAAATGAAAAATTTATTTTTCGATGGAGAACCATTGAGGTGTGAAACATGATTTAAAAACTTGAGGAGGGGGCCATGGCCTCCATGGGTCATAAAATAGCCAATGGACAATGCCATCCTTATGTAGCAATACAGGGCAGAGCATTGCATGACATCTCAAGAACAATAAGGGTAAGGTTACTTACTTCCACACTTCTTTCCCACCGGTCGGTTCCTGATGTTACATCGCTTGGGGATAGTGATAGCAATTGCTGGCTTGATACCGGCCTGCTTTGCCAAAGGCGACAGCAGGACAGTGCAGAGGCATCGCGGAGCAGTCTTGATTAACCCATTAACTTTGGTGCAGCAAGTGGGAGGGACCGTTGCCCTAGCATTTCCTGCAGCGCTCAAGCAGGGACTTAAGCTGGCAGCTGCAGAGCGTATTGGGGTCCTCCCACACTCCCCCGGCTGCACCAGCTGTGTATATAAAAACCTCGGAAATTAACAAGTATAGAACCAAAGTCACATAGTAAAATGTCATCTTGGAGGCCATCTTTCTAAGCTTAAAATGAACTTCTATACTATATGGTCCTATGCCAAAAGTGGTGCAAATATATAGAGCTGTATACTGCAATGTGAATGGAGGGAAAGTTTGAGTTTTTGCGGTAGTGGGGTGGTTGTGAAACGGGAGGTAACTATGTGGTGTGCGCTTTAAAGTGTTCAAGACGTAATGATTCAATTGTTTTGTTGGAATTTTGCCATTGGGAGTTGGGCAATGAGAGCTAGGTTCATAGGGGGACACATTATCTTTTCGACTAATGGGCAAGGTGCTTCAAAGGATAAAATTATGCTTGCTAAATTTGTATACAAAATATTGTATCTTAAATGATACGTCAAAATCATGTGTATTGAATACTTGGTGGAAGTTAATATACTCAATTGATTCAATCACCCACATGTGATATAAAATTTGGTAAACATAGCATTGCTCTACTTCAATTCTAGCTCATTCCACTCTTTCCATGCTTTTGAATTACTTTTTTTGGCGTGAAGCATTGCTTGGTTGGTGGGATTAGTGACTTTTTGCGAGATGAAGCGTACGTTTAAGCTTTAAATATGAAACTTTTCAAACTTAAGTGTGGTTAAAACTAGGAGGTTCCCAGGGAAATTACAATGCTTCATTGTAGTCTCCTCGGGGACATCCAATAAATTTGGCCCAATCAGATGGTTTATTGTATTTTGTTAATTATTTTGTTTTTTGTGTTCATCGTGCTCATCCAAGGTACGTTTTTAATTTATTTATCAATAACATTGTATTACCTTTTCTGATATTAGTCACATCACAAAAATCACTGGCCTGTACAATTTAATTAAAATATTTTTTATAATAAATGAATTTACTAGAAATTTGTCAAATACTCATTTTTCAATTTGATTCCCCTAATGGGGAGTGTTAGCAGGGGTAGTTACTTCGTCACCCCTCAAACTATTATACGAGATTTGTTTTTTCCCTCTATTATGACCTTTCCCACTTTTACGGTAATTGGTTTCACATTGTACTAAATCAAAGTAACTGTTAAAAAATAATGAATATGCAAGGAGCCCCCTCAATTATCCTAAATGGTTTCAAATTGCATCTTTAACTTTGTCATTTGGTTTCATGTTGTGCCAACGGATTTTTTTTTTTGTACAAAGTTTCAACATCGGTTTGAAAATGTAATAATATGAAATGAAATACTATAATTTAAAGGAGAAAATGAGAAATTCAATGTTAATTGAGATAAGAAAAAACTAATGCTATACTTTGTAACATCGTTAATGTTGGGTGGATTTTTTAAATGTGGCAAAATCACTTATTGAAATTTCTTATTTGTATAATGCAATTTAGAATAAAATAGTGACAAGTAAGAACAAAATAGTAACATGTAAATCTATAATTAAACAAACTAATTCGTTTGCAGATCATAAACTATGCTTGAATTTTGTAAATTAAGGTTAGTGTTTGACAATATGTCTTTAAGATAAATTTTGTCCCCACAATTGGTGCTTATGAAAATCTCAGTGTTTGCATCTTAAGATACAATGATCTTTATCCAATTAAAAGTAACACTCTAATTCAATTGTCCAACAAACCAAAATTGTGTTGTATTCTTAGAAAATCCAAGCTACTAATGACGAATTTATGAATGTGATGACTGCCTTAATTTGTAATGTAATTTAGAAGTGATCAAAATATATGATTACAATTTTGGTATTGACATCGAGTCTTTCTCTTACCTTGTGTCAACATCATGGCACATAGAGAAAGTACTTGAGTTGCTGTAAGGTTCAATGGTTACTTATGATATAACTAAGCCATGCTATTTCATAGTTCCGAAAATGGAAGCCAGAGCAAGAGTAGTAATAGCTAATCTTAACCATCCTGCCATTTCTGACTTTAGGAAGAAATGGAGTAAGGAATGATTGAATTGAGTTGATGAGTTGCTGAGTTATTGAGTTGATGAGTTATTGAGTTCATGAGTCTTTCATGTATTATTTCAATCCCTGGGATTGAGTTATTGAGTTCATGAGTTGATGAGTCCTATCTTATTTCCTTTCTTGATATTGTAATTTATTTCCCTGGGATTGGGAAAACGTATTATTAAGGATTTGCTTGCACAAGCGAAAGCCCTCTCCTTCCCCCTCCTGACGCTTTAACTTCTTTTGATAAGGGCTAAGCGAGGGTTGTCCTTAGCTCTGATTTAGTTAATGAATTTAGATTATTTATAGACAAAATGATGACTATTTCGAACAGCCACCATATAAACAGATGCAACATAGAAGACATCATTAATGTTTACCCAATAATGAACAGATACGAATTTGAATTCAAATTTAAACTAGTGCAAAATTTGAATTCCAAAGGGCAAAAATTAAAATTTGGGTTAAGAATTTATGACCCAATTAGTTAAACGAATATTCTCTAAAAACAAATTTGGTTTAGTTCACCCCCACACCCAAGCCGAGTTGGGGCAGGAGATGGCAACATGTGTGCATGTTGTTGAATCGAAGCTCATATAGGTGCTTACTCCACTCACAAAAATGTGATACCTCATAGGGTCCAATCCATAATACAAACTTGATACATATATGCACCTGTAAAATTTTTACTCGATTTGAGTAAATGAATATATTACATTATTCTCATCACGGAATAGAACATGTGCTCACAAAAATTTACTTGAAATGATGAGTTGATCCCACTTTAATTTATGTTCAAAATCGACCAAAAATTAAATTTTAATTACTAAAATTTGTTTTAATCAAATAATTAATACTAGTGGCCCAACAACCACGACAACCATGTGACAATTTTTATCAGCATAAAAGCTTCGCAATTTGTATTTTCTTTTCCTTGTCATTAATGACAATAGGTTTTTCTCTTCGTTTTTTGTTATTATTTTTCATACCCTCTCAATTTTTTTCTTTGCGAGAAACAAGAATTAGGGGTGCAACTCGGACGGGTTGGACGGGCTGAAGGGTCAACCTTAGCTCAACCCTATATATATAATCTTTTACTCGAGCCCAAGCCCTAGTTCAAACCCGATTTCAACCCAAGGTACTCAACTTGAGTATTGTCCAAGTTGAATTCAGGCGGATTCAGATTGAATTTGGGTTTTTGAATTAGGGTTAAATTTGGGTTACAAATCAGATAAAAAAAATTACACAACTCAATCACAAGCACAGCACAAAGAAATTAAACCAAAAAGGCCAAAATATCATAGCCACCCCATTGCCACCATAACCACTACCAATAGCCATTGCCACTGTCACCACAACTATTGCCCATAGCCACCGCCACTACCACCAGAACTATTGCCCCTTGCCACAACAGCCACCATGTCGTTGCCTACATAGTCACCACACTACAGACGCTTCCCACACAGCCACCATACCACAACCACCAAATCCGACCATCGTTTTGGTCATCGGCGCCATAGCCACTAGATCTCCGCCAAATCTGAGATGCAACCATTGTTGTAGTCTTCGGCACAAAGAGGGAGTGAAAGGGAGGTCGAGAGAGAGTAAGAGAGATACTGAGAGATGGAGAGTTGAGAACGAGAGAGGTGTTGATGCAAAAAGCAAAAATGAAACCTTCGCTTTATAATTTTTTTTTTAAGTTGTCGGGTTCGGGTTGAACCCAAAAATCCGAGGCATCTACCTGAGGTATGCCCGAATTTAATTCGGGTTAGAGCTTTTTTGGCCCAGGCCTAACCCAAGTATTAAAAATTCTAACTCAAGCCCTATTTTTTTTGAGTTGTATTTGGATTGGCCTGCTCAAGTTGCACCCCTAACAAGAATACAGTCTAAAGCTCCTATTTGTCCTCACAATAATAACATGCTTATAGCTATTTAGCATGCTGGTAGAAACAATAATATTTATGCGTGGAGGAAGAAGTAGAAGTCATTAGCAGAACGTCTTCAATCCAAAGCAAAATGGGGTTTCTTGTAAGTTGCAAGAAAGAGGCAACACAATTCCTGTTTAGAATTAGAACGCTAACGAAGTTAAAAGAAAGAGAGAGAAAGTAAATTAGGTCCCCATAAAATTTTAGACGAAAAATGAAAGCAGCAGAAATGGAAAAAAAAAAAAGAACAGAAAGAGAGTCTTTCTACCAAAGTCCTAGCAAATTACTTTGGTTTTCCTATCCATGACAAATTTCTTCCAAGCATCAATTATTTCCCTTTGTGTCTCAAGTTCTGTTCTCTTCACCACGGTGCCATTTTTCACTTTCTGATCACTGGACATCATATTGGCACTTTATTTTAGCAGGGAGGGTATCCAATTTATGGAGGACCTTTGTGATATCATCCACTAGGCGCTTGGCTAGGGTGCATGAGAAATCTTCCCTCATGACAACCCGAAGCACTGTCACATGTTGAGCATCCGGTGGCGTGGTGTAGGCAGGCATGATCCATTGAAAATTACGCAGCATATCTGACACATCAAACTCGTTGTACCGACTTTTCTCCTTAAGAGAGAAGGCAACCACTGGAACACCATTGTCCTTGGACACAATGTTGAATCGGCCTGTCTTCTACAATCCTTGTTTCAGCAGGAAAGCGTTGTCTCGACAATTTTCCATGACATTTTGGTATCCCTAAGAGCAAAATATTTTTGCGACAATTAGTTAATATGGCAATAAGCTACATATGCATCCACACACGTTAAATTGAATTTTGAGAGAATTACACTTTGATCCCTTCAACTAAGTCTCCTACACTACATCCTCTTCAATATTACCTTCTTTATGTGTCTCCACTATATTATATTTATATTGCACATCCGTCCAACTATGGTTATTGGTTTTATAGTGCTCATATTGTAGACATTGAAAACATCTATTTAACTACAAATGTGGAAATTTTTTGTCCAAAACGTCTGGTTTTGAGACAACATGAAAACCATGCAAATAATTGACGAGACATTGTGCAAAATTCAATAATTGAAGGTGTGAAGTTAGATTGAGAGCATAATTGAAGGGGTCAAAATTTAATTTACCCTTGGAAAACTTA